TACCATCTCGTACCTCCTGTTAGCTTTAGCCATGCTTCTACCCATAGGAAAAAAAAAAAAAAAAAAAAAAAAGCAACATAAGAAACACTTCATTTTTTCATACCTTCCTTATTTTATTTCTAGTTGTAAAAGAAGATCTTTCTGCACAGAGATCCTGGGCAGAATTCTTGCAATTTTTTTTTTTCCACATCCTGATCTTTGTATATAATAACCTCTGTGCAAAAGAACCCCATTTATGGAAGCAAAGCTGGTGATTTCCTTTCAGATCATTTGATGCATTTTTACAGCATCTGAGTAAGACTGCACACAAAATAAATAGAGGAGATATGTTGCAATATTAAGATATATACTCTTGAACAATAATATAACATCAAAATCTGCTACGTTTTTAGAAATAATTTATGGTGGGGAAGTAATCTAACTAGGGATATACATACATTTGTGTGTGTGTGTGTGTGTGTGAAATGAGTGGGAAGAGGATAGAGTACAGAACAATGTACAGGCTTGAAGGAGAGTACTTGCATCTGTTTCATTTGTCACTTTTTTTTTTTTTTAACTTTACGAACTTGAAGGTAATTTCCAAAAGAATTTTCTCCCTTACAAGTTAAATACTTTTTCTCCTCCTCCTGTTCCACTGCCGTTAACAAAAAGGAGCTCATAAATCAAACTTTAATCAAGCTGAAAATCCCAATTTTCTTTCTTCACTTCCCTAGGGGGTCAGAGCATTTTGCAGAATCTTTTATTTTCCGAACTTATCCACTTCAGAACTTCTGTTTGCTACTTGCTTTCTCTCCTAGTAAAATTACTTTCATTTAGGATTACTACCCTCCTCCTCTTCCTGACACTGCATTTGCTTCTTCAGCCTCTTGTGATGGAAACTATTTAAAGCCTTGCAACTTAATTGGAAGAAACATGACTGTAAGGGATTAGCAAACCCTCAATTCAATATATAGAATTATGCTTATGCAGCTACAGAGAGATTCATCTGCTGTTTCTCTGATTTTTCTTGTGTTTTCCTAGCTTTACACTTCAAATCTTCATAGATCAATACAGAGTAGACAAATGACATGGGTACAGGACATTATCACAAACTACTCATGCTGTTGACAGTGATTATGCTGAATTAACTTCCTAAACTTTCCAGCAATACATGCAAATTTAATTCCTCTGAAACTCCTTCTCACAGTACATTTCTGAAAAACAACTGCCTGATGCAAAGTTTACCTGCACCAGCACATTTAGTATATTTTGAATCAATTCCTGGATTAATTTATCCTGGAATGAAGCATGATATATTTGCAAGGTTATAAACATGCAAACTGATGTGCTAACAGAAGACAAGACACTGATTTGAAGCAGACATGTTCTGCCTTAAAATTTTGAATGGATTATAAATGTATTGTTTCTTATTACTGTTTTAAAATATAGCTTGAAATGTACTTGAGGCACCACAAGGCCTTTTAAAGGCTTTTTTTATGAATAGAATAGGGGCAAGAATGAATAAAAACGAGTGTTTGGATTGCATGATAAGAAACTCAACCAGAAAATGAATGTTTCCTATGAGATTCCACTATGAGATTTCCAGAATGACTAAAGATTGTCTTTAAGGTGATAAGCCAAGTTTTATATTGTAGTTCAGGGATTCGCTTCCCAAGAATGAACAGAATTACGCCTGTGGCATTTAGTAAAATCAATGCTGAAGGACAAGAAAACCCCATAGCTAACCCTGAAAATCTGTGTCTCTTGCTTCTTTTTTGTTACCTAGCTGTTTTCTTTTATTATATGATAGGGATAGCTCTGAGCTATAAAATGTGAATGAAAAGGAAAACTTTTTCACACAATGAAACTTCCCACTTCAATCTGTAGTAAACTCAGACATTCCAGTTACAGAATTTAATTTAATTTCTTTTCAACTTACCTCATTACTCAACAACAACAAAGACAAAAAAGAAGAGAGAGAAAAATCCTACCAATAAAATGAAAGTTTTAAATGGCACATGCCTCCCTTAGCCCTTAAACAAGAAGCCAAAATTAAAGTTCTAAGCAAAGCAATCAAGTTGATATATCTGCCAAACACTTAGCTGAGTTCCAAGGGCATATTTTTATAGCAAAGAATCCATGACACAAAGCTCAAGATTGACTTTCCTGTCATATGGAAGGGGGAATGTCTGGATCCTCATGGCCAAACAAAGGAATTAATACTTTGGGAAGTGGTTTGGCAATGGTTTGCTTTGAGTCACATTAAAATGATACAAGTGCATAGAAGACTTATGTGAGCATCAAAGTAGAATAGAAGCAATACACATAAATCAGCATGAAAATATACTCAAGTACTCGGGAGCGAGTATGAAGCATTTTAAAAGTGATATATTACAGCCTATTCTGTTTCTTCTATTTCTATAGGTCAGAAGTCTCTCCAGGTAGCTGGTGTTTTCTAATGATTTCAATGATCTGTTAAGTATTTTTTGATTTTGCTGACTACCACTTTTTTGTTGACGATTAATAATACTTCAGTGTTTTTCTGCACATAACTAGAAGACAATGATTGTCACAAAAGCTTCCAGTGTGTTAGCCCTTTCAACATCTGAACAGTGAATGACAAGTAAAAGCCTATTGTAAGGTCACGATCTACATTTGTTACAATACAACTAGATTGTTTTATAAGAAAAATTTCTTCTGCTGTACAAAAGTCATTATAATACATTTAGATGGAAAGTCTTCACACCTGATTTTAGTGGGCTTAATGATCTGATTTGCTTAGTAATATGAACAAAAAACATTTAACTCATTTATGCATTTTCATTTCTGGATTTTGTTTCATTGTTCAAATAGACTTTCAATAAAGTAACTTGAACTGTGACAAATAACAGATTAATTCTTTGAGGAACTACTATTAATTCAGCATTGAATGTCATGAGTTTACCCTCCTCCAGAAGTATTAACTGCTTTTATAAAATTTTGTTAAACCCTTAATGAGACTTTGTATAAAATTAATTCTCAGAGTAATTATCCATAATAAGTAGCTGACTGCCTCTGCTTCAACTTAAAATGTTGAGTGTGCTGCATTTTAGGTGTATCTAGCTACCTAGTCTGCCTGTGAACAAGACTGTACAATTGAAATATGATTCAATGGACTGTGTAGATAGTATACTCCATCACTTTCAAAAGTACAGGTAAGAGAATAGGGATTTGCATGAATGTGCTGATGCTTTGAAGAAATGGGGGACTACTCTAACGTGTCCTTCACACAGCAGATGGTATGTGAAATCTGTTTCATGGTTGGTAAGCCTTGTAAAGGCTTGTAAAGATTTGTTCCCTGCTGCTTTAGCCAGAAAATGAAGATATATACCTACACCAAAAACATTAAGAAAAAAATCAATTGTAATGGTATAATCTCATAAAACAATGCAGGTTTTTCATAAACTAAAAGAAATAGTCATTAGTTTCAGTGAAATCATGGCTTTGACAGACTAAGAAATTTTGCACCCCAAAATGAAAAAGCTATGCTTGTATTTCTCTGAAGCCACACTTTCCAATTACAAAAATAAATCAATTAACTTAAGTAGGAACAGATATTTACAACTCTCAAAAGGATTTAAAACATACACTGCCACAGCACTTCATAGGAACATCAGGACAAATTCACTTGATCATAATGTGCACATCATACTCATGCCTCAGACAGAGAAGAAATCTAGATGAATATCTCATCTTAAAAAGAATCTTCTGCCATTAATGGCAGTGTCAAGTACTAGATAAATTGTTAACCACTGTTTAAATATTACTGAAATTTAATTATAAAATATATTTTCATGTTTGTAATTTCTAAATGTAAAGCCCTAGTCTAATTCAGACACATTCAGTGAAAGCCAAGAAGCTGTAACAGACTTGATGAATGCAGTAAAAACAAAGCAATCTTTACAAAATGGTGTCTCAAGGGTTGTAATGTATAAAGCAATGGGAATGTTCATATTATACCTTACTATAAGGACATTGAAACAACATACTATATGGAAGTTGTTTTTATTAAATATAGCACAGTAGAACCTTGAGGCAATCCTATTTAATGCTTTGCCATCTTCTAAATTGTTTACTTATTCCTACTCTATTTTTGGTATCTTATCAAGTTTCTAATCCAAAGCAATAATTTACGTGACAATTCATGACAACTTCTTTTCTATTAATCTGTCAGAGGCTTTAATCTTTTAGTGCAGCAAGGAATTATTCCAATACGTTCTAGCTTATCTATTATTCAATCAACAAGCCAAGGAAATTCTAAAGAATCAGGAAGTAAAATGTGCTCATACAGAAGCTATACTAACAATTCAGGTTCTCAGAATTATTTTCAAAGTAACTGGAGGTTTCAGATTATTCTGAAACACTTTCTCGGAAAGTTTTCCAATTTTTAATGATCCCCAAATCATTTCTAGCATTAAGAAAGAAAAAAAGAAAGCTGCTATCTTTTTCCTTCTATCATTCTTTATTTAGATGCAAACTACCCACTTTTGTGAGCTTGCTCATGTTATATGCACCCTCAAAATTCATTGATCATTTATGATTAGGTATAATTTATGCTTTTTTGGGTTCTTGCTCAATTTCTAATGGCAGTAAAATAATGAAAGTAAATCTTAATCTTTCACAATCATGATTCTCAACTAAGCTCTCTATCTCCTGATATTTTGACATCTTCTGATTCTTTCTCAATCTTCATATTACCAATTCATTCAGTACATTGTTTTCCATTTCCTTCTCATAATTTGTCCAGTTGTTCCACGTTCTTACTCTAGCTTTTATGATTTTCTATTCACATAATTAATTTCCCACTTCCTATTTGAAAAATTTATGTCAGTCTCTACCATCAAAATCTTTGAATTAACCAATAAAATATTTTTTAAAAACATACCAATAATACTAATGACTGTTTTTTTTCCCAAGAAATCTAAATACAACGTGCACATTTTACTGCATATCTAATGATGATAATATTATACACAGAATACCTGATGAAGTATACTGAGGAACGAGTTCTTGTTCCAGTTCATAGCTTGAACCTTCCATAGTAAATGGCTTGCGAAGACTCACAAAAGGAAAGGTTTTCACATTCTCTTCTGCTGTACACAGACCTCCTTAAGCTCACTGAAAAGACTCATAAGCAAGCTTTTACACAACTGAACTACTGCTGCAGCTGACCGAAAACAGGGGAAGTGATAGACCAGACTTGTTGCATAACAAAGTACAGAAATAAAATTGGCAGGCGTTGACCTTACTATCTCCTAAATTCAGTTGCGTCTAATTTCAACCTATTGTTGCAATTGTATCTATTTCTATTCAGAGCAGTTATTAAGAACTTGTTAACAACTTTATAAATATTTCAGAATACTGTGGTACTGTGGAAGATCCTTGAAATGTTTGCCATAATTTAAGGATGTTGGTCATACAAAATAACTTGTGTACTAACTACGCCATTTACATTGCGACTCAGCTCAGATTTTAAAAGGGGTTATCAATACCCTACTACCAAGCATATCATACACATTTGTAATAATTCTCCTGAAATTTTAAAAAATTACTTCTGAAATTATGGAACACTTTGAAAGATTTTTATCTACTGATCACTACACTACTGATCACTACACTACTCATCACGTACTATCAACTGGTTTCCAAAAATATCACATGTGGTCTAAATCAGATCATCTAAATCCCATAAAGTATTTCCTTATATATCTCTATAACCTTATACATCTTTTACATATCTTTACCTACACAAAAGCAGCTATTAGGGAACAAAATATTCAGATTCTGCAATTCTCTAAAAGTTTTCTTCAGATAAAAACACTACACAAAAGACTGATTTAACAAAGCGTGCTACCCTCATAATGACAAGGAGAATAAAATAAAATAAAATAAAATAAAATAAAATAAAATAAAATAAAATAAAATAAAGGAAAAGAAAATAACGAGACAAAATTTTACTGATTTTAGGAAAAAGTCATTTGTCTCTCATTAGTGACTTTTCTCCTCCTTGACCTTATTTTCTTAAGAGATTGGATTTACTAACCATCTCAGCTTTTATCATACAAGATTTCTAAGAGCTACATTCTGGAAATTGGGTTTGTGTATCATGGCAGGTCTGGCATGCGAGGAAATCAGCTACATGCTGGATTTTTTCCCCATTCCTATCCAAAAATACACAGCACAATTTCCATCCCATCATTTCAGCTAAGAAGAAAATCTGACAATTTATTACAGTCCTCCTGTGCCAGATAATAGTCCAATTGATGGTATGTGACAGAGCAGCTTAACTTCAAGAGCAAGCGCTTCTTCATATAACTGCTGTCATTTTTGCTTTTCTCAACTTCACCTCAGTAACTTTTTTTGTTGCTGTTGTTGCATTTTTTTTTTTTCCCCACTGTTTGAATTTTGATATGTCTCGTTTCCTCAGGAGGTTGCCAAGAAAGTGAATAAAAAAATAAGTTGATGTAAAATACTCTGTTTACAGTGCATCATTTTCCACCTAATGTATGTACAAGGAAGAACAGAGTGCAGATATTTGACATAGGTCTGGTCTCTGCACATGAATGCCTAAAGTGTTCACTTGGAAAAGTATCTAATGCTACAGATCTGACTATACTATCTATTCAGAGGAGCCTTTTTAATTTAGGCTGAGTGCTGGGGTCAGACTGCTACTGAAATAAAATTGCCCATGTAAAACTATCTTGGTTGAGTTACACTGCAGTTACAGCTAAGTATTTACATTACAGAAATGTGCTACTTTAAATAAGGTGGAAAGGGCAAACAGGAGCAAGAAGTTTTGAAAGTTTTACGCCAATTTTTTACAAGGGAATTTCAGTACATTCTGCACTTCAGTTCAAGGTCTTGACAGTTTACAAAATTCCTAGTCATTTGTAAGTACTGCCTATTATTTTAAGATTATAAAGCAAGAATAAGAGACATAATTACCTCTTCTCTTTACAATCTTTCCAGTCTTAATGTCATATTAACATTACAAGATATCAGTAAAATGCAATGTCTAAAAGAAATCATAAATGTAACTTGAATTTCTAACATTCATAAATCAACCAGCCAAAGGAAAAATACTACAAAAGTAATTTGAAAATACAAGACCCAAATGACTTCAAATCAATCTTTACAATTTCACAAACTTGTCTTCTCTTTAGACAAGCTTCCCTGTATTGGTTTAAAGAAATTGTGTTGAAAATGATGAATTAACAGGGGTCCATCCTGTACTCTTGCACATCACGACACTGATTAGGTAGATAACTAAAAGGATTCAACTTACACAGCAATGGATGCAATAACATCAGTGAAATCTGCCTGAGAAGAACTACATTTACGCATATTTCCACATACTCATATATTTATTCATATGTGCATTTAAATGTGGAAATAGTTACAAATAAGCAAGAAACCTATATACATACATAACATGTTCACATGTATGCATGTATACAAATATTGAAGAAAAATAATTATCTGTAATACGAGCATTTTAATATTCAACATTTCGTAATTTAAATGTGTTCATATGTGTACATGCTAATGTGAATCCATACATGAGAAAAACTTCTCTCTCTCTTCTTCTGTAGTTATAAAGACGCACATGCATACATTTCAAGGTCAAAGAACTCTCCCTTAGAACCACCTTAACCTCACTATATGAGGACATTGCCACTGTATGAAGACATTGCCAGCGGGTCATGATAAAAGATCATCTGCCTCAGCATTGTGACTCCAGCAATGGCCAAATAGATGACTTTGCTGTACCAACCTGCTGTAATTGAAGAATCAGGAGCTGTCTGAAGCTCCGGAGGAGTGGTGTTCATGAGAATTGAAAACTCCAAACGAGTGTTCATATTCATTTACTATTCTCACAGCATTCTGCATATACTCCCACCCGCACACAGCGCTTTATATGCATAATTGCTAATACTTACAGGTTTTTCCCTCTAGTAAAAATTCTGCCTGCCTCAACTGTCAAAGAAGTCAGTGAGAACACAACTGATATAACTATTATAACTGATTTTAATTTATCCATTTCTAAAATAAAGGTAATACAAACAATTAATTGTAGGATATAAAGTGCTCAATCCTTGTCATATCAAGCCTGTACTTAGCTGGAGACTCTACAAACAGGGTGAGTTTTGTTAATGCATATAGTCAGGCTTTTAACATACTAAAGGTATCTACTTTTCAAATGAACCAAATTGTTTGTAGTGATGCTTAAACAGCTTAAACATCCATCATTAGAACAGATGTGAATGAAACTCAAATTAATTAATCCCTGTCAAGGTTATAAGATTGCTCAGAACAGTTTTAGAGCTTTTTCTTTTTTTTTTTTTTTTTTTAAAAAAATTTTAAAAAGGAAAAAAAAAGGTTAGATTTGTTTGCTGAATTCTTCATAAAGTATCAAAACAGCCTGTATGTTGGAATCCTGTGTTATTGAATCAATCTTAAATCCGTTATTACATCATACCATATCATGCCATTTTTGCATATTTGAAAGAAGCAACAAAAGCACATTTTCAGAACACTTACAACTGGAAGCATTTTTATTTTAGAGCTATTTATTTTCTTATAATATTTCCTAGTCGCAAATCTTTCCAAACACATGCATTTAAATAATCCAGCTGTAATTTACTAACAGTAGCAACACAAAATAAAACAACAATCTGATTGTACTATGGAGATACATCTTGACTCCTCTTCTGTTCCTATCTCTTCTCTGCCACTCACAAAGAAAGGCCTGGGATAACTGCTAGACTAGGTAGAAGTGGTCAATACTTAGTACACACTCAGATGCTGGAAAAGAAAAGGTGAGCATTGTGCATTTTAATTAACTCTGCATTATAAGCATCTTCAGTGAAAGGGATTTTTAAGGTTTTTGTCAAATTTTGTATTTCTACACCACTCAAAGAGATGGACATAATGTTTCATTGTTAAACAAATGTGATTGTGGATCATATTTTATCAGATTAATACATAATTTAATACACTATAAAGAACAGCAACAAAATTTAAATCATTAGTATTTTTATTGAATCTGAGCTACTAAGTCTACTGTAAAATTAAAATCTTTCTAGCCTTGGCTACTAGAGCCTGAGATTTCAATCCAGTATCTACTGAAAGTCAGTGGAAGGGCTTTTGGTGCATTACATGAGGAAAGGGAAAAGCACAAAGCTTACCAGATCAATTAAGTCACATTGCAAATTGTGTACAGCTGGATGAGAGAATAGTAATTCTGTCAATGTGAATCACCCTTAGACCTTGCCCTGAGGTTTCTGCTCAGCATATGCACATGCTATCTCATTTACAAAATTTCTTTTGAAACAGAAACAATAAATATTCCACTAGATGAAACCTGGGGCTTTGATCCACTGACTACTATATGAGGTATTAAGGCAGAAGGTGCCATCGCTCCCCCTGCCTAACTCAGCTTTCCAAACTGTCTTTCAGAACCACTCTCAAGCACCGTCTACATGCTTCACAGTGCCCTGCTATAAAAATATATACACAGCCCTCTGTGATTATGCTGAATAAACTATTAATACACTTTACTTCTTAAATTAACTCTTTAACAAGTTTCAGGCTCCATGAATTACTTTGAGCATCCACTGATGACAATGAGGCATCTGTGACACTGAGACACTGAGGATGACAAACTTGTGATAGCAGGCCTCATACTATCCTAGCCTTATCAGCACCACGTGGGACTTCTGTGAAAATCTTCATGACCACTTCCAGGAATGAAACAGTTCTGTGATTCTGACCTAGAGTACATCCCTGAAAAAGCCTTCCTTAAAGTCCTATAATGAGATCCTAGAGACTATAAAACAGTAAGGATCAGACAAGCAATCCACCAACTGAATTTGCACAATAGGAGCTGCTTAACATTTATTTTAAAAATTCTAAGCCAGGATGGTCACAGTTAGGAACCATTAGCTACCAGACAGTACTACAGGCAAATGAGCCTGGAAACTTTGCGTTCCACATGTACTGTGAAGCTGGCCTCTTTTAGAAACTATGTAGTGTTTTGTGTTATTTATATATATATA